GTAGACAACAGCTCTCTTCCCCACCTGGTCCAGGGACAAGCTGCCCCAGGCTCACTTCCTGGCCCTCCTGACCCTCACCTCCCTGAGGGACTCTGATTAATGATCCAACCAGGCTCCGGGGGTCATCCCAGCAGAGCTCCCAGGCCTGGCTTTGCCTTTTCTCTGGGCTATTGTTCTCCTACCTGAGTCCCAGTTCTGGATTGCCTGTGTCAGCCAACACACTCTCTGGCTGCTCTCAATGTTCTCTCCCATCCTTGCTATAGGAGATAGCTAATAGCTCCTATTCTGTATATTAGGCAGGGTTCTCCAGAGAAACAGAAGCTATAGGATGTGGATATAGAAAGAGAGAGATTTATTATAAGGAATTGGCTCATGCCATAATGGAGGTTGAGAAGTCCAAAATCGGCTTGGTGGACTGGATGACTGGAGACAAAGGCTGAACACATCATTTCCAAATGCGAGTTCTCACAAAAGCCTATTTTGCTAGTGGAGGGTGCCAAGAGGGCAGGCTGGTTAAAAGCAGGGGCTTTAGAACTTGTCAGGTGAATCCCCCAGCTAGCTATGAGATCTTGGAGAAACCTCAGTCCCCTCATTTGTAACCAGGGTATAAATAATAGTTTCTACCTCACAGGGCTGTGGTAAGAATTATTTGAGATGATATATGCAAAAAATCTTAGAAGATGGTGGATATTCAACAAATTGTATTCTTCTTATCTTATAAGCCAGCATGGGGCATCATGTAATCTTAGAGCCAAGAAATAGCCAAGGCAGAGCTCTTTGGAGTAGTCCTGGTGGGGCAGGAACTAGTCTGGGGACCCCCAGCCCTGAAGCCTTTCCAACATCTCTCCCAAGACTTAGAGCACATGATGCCTAGGACATGTACATCATCCATCCCAACCGCAGTTTTAGGTGCCTTACCACAGACCCAGAGCCACTCCACTGCCCATGACAAAGATAAGAAATGACAAAAACCAGTTGCTTTGACTGGAATTCTCCTCAGACTACTTCAGTAAATGTTATCACTATACCATGGTATTCATTATCTTAATTGTTGCAATCTTTTCTTTTCCCCAATTTTAAGCTGTCAGCAGAGATTACTCATCCAAAGAAAGCATACATTTTTTTCTATTTTGGTCAACTAGTGGTTTGGGTTTCCTAGAATGGAAGTTTTTGACTTCCTGTGAAAGTTAGTAATTTTTATACATTCAAAATAAGGAGGAAATTGGGACCACCAGTTCCCAAAGCCCTCTTGCAAAGTGGGGAGCCTGTTAGCAATAATAATGACTTTTTATATTACCAAAATGCTTAGAAGTCTCCAAAGATTCTCAGATCCAGCCTAGAACTAGGAACTTGTAGAGCTGGAAGGCCACATCTGCTGAGTGGCCAACCATGAATTGCCCCCACCAACTCATTCTACAGTGTATGAAGTGTATCACTTCCCTCTTAAATCCCTCCAGTGGCTCCATTTAATTTAGGATGAAATTTACATGTCTCACCATGGCCTTGCCCCAACACTGTCTCCAACCAGTGTCCCTCTCCCTCACATACTCAACCATGATGAACTTCTCCATATTTCTTGCTGAGAGCCTAGCCTTTGGGGCATTTGCACATACTGCTCCTTCTGCACAAGACACTCCTCCTCCTTTTCTTCATATACCTGGCTCAGTTCAAATGTTAAACCTCAGAAAAACCTCTCTAACCATCTTAAAGTTCTGCCCCCACTCATTATTGAGGATATTTCTTTGCTTTGCTTTGCGTCCCTGGTAGCGATTTTCTTTAGCAGAAATCATCTGCTTGTTTGTTGTCTTTTTCCCTCCCTCTAGCATGTCAGATCCTCATCTATCTTGCTCATCACTGTATCCCAGGGATAACCCATGCCAGACATAGAGTAGGTCCAGCAGACAGGTGTGGAATGAATGAACGTCCTTAATATCTATTTCTTTTTTCATCTGAGCCTAAGCCAAATTCTTTGAGGCAGACGTTATTGTTATGCTTCTTTAAAGGTCAAGGAAATGGGACTTAGAGATGCAGATTCCCCCAAACCTCTTTCCCTAGTTATTCATTGCTTTGGGACAAACCACTACCAAATTTCCTTGCTTAGAACAAGGATGGGTCATTTCTCTCAGTTCTGCGGGTTGGCTGGGTGGTTCTTCTGTTGGGCTCGCACTCATCCATGTGGCCATGAGAGCTGGGACAGCTGGCCATCCTTCCCCATGTGGCCCTTCATCCCAGACATCTTTACACCCTGGTGGTCTCAGAACATTATTCCAAGAGACTTGGAGCTGAAGCACAAAGGCTCTTAAGGCCTGGACTCAGAAGCCACACAGCATCACATCTCCTGGGTTCTGTTGGTTAAAGCAAGTCACAAGAGACCCGGACTAGGGAAAGGGACTTACACTCCACACTGCAAAGGAACTTGGGCCAAATTGTTGTAGACATCTTTGAGAATCTATCAGAGCTGGTAAGCCCTAGAACCAGCTAGAGTGAACCTCTGACTCAGTAAGGAAAACCAAGGGAACCTGGCAATATCAAATGATACCAAAAATCCAAATAGACTGCAATAAATTTACTTCTCAATCATATTACAGGTCCCCTGGAGTCTGGCAGGATTCCAGGACTTCACTCTGAGGTCCAAGGTGACAGAGCAGCCTCTCCGTGGAACAGAGCCAGTCTCATGACGGAGAGGAAAGGGACATGGCAAACACTCACTGTCCCAGAGCCTTTGCATAGAAGTGACACAAATCCCCTCCACCAACCATCTGTGGCCAAACAGTTCACAGACATACCATCCTCTCTGGGAGGGGCACTGAAGATGACTGGACAGGAGTCCCTCCCAAATGGAGCCCATTTTCCTCTTTGGAACCTTAAAAAAAATCATTTATGGAGCCACAACCTGTCTCATTCTATCCTGCTATTGGTAGGGTCAGCTCCCCATCAGCTCCCTCTACCCAGAAAACCTTCATAGAGACAGAAGTCACTGTGGCCTCTCTTCTCCAGAATACACATCCCAGCCTTTCCAGCCATACAGCCAAAAACCTGCCAGAGTCTCCTGGCACTCACAAGATCAAGTCCAAACTCCGTCTGTGTGGTGTCCTTAAATTCCCCCACGATTTGATTCCTGCTGGCTAGCTGACCAGTCTGTATTCCCAGAACGCCTCAGGCTGTTTCATCCTCTGTGCTTGTCTCTCTGCTGTTTCCTCTGCCTATATGGCCCTCCCCTCTTCTCCAGCTTGTGAAATGTGGCTTTCCTCTCAAGATCTGGCTCTACTGAAGAAATCTTTTTTCCCTTGGTAGGGTCAATCAACTCTTCCTCTTTCTAAACCTCTTCATTATAGCATCTACTCATTCACTCACTCAACCAACATTTATTTGCATTTCTTACTATGTGCCAGGTACCATTCCAGGTTCTGGGGAAACACAGGGAACAATACAAACAAGGCTCCTGTTCCTTCACTGATATAATTCTGGTGAGGTAAAGCAGACAATAGCATATAAACCAATGAATAAAGCAATAACTTTAAATAGTTATAAGTGTTTTCATTATAATAAAAAGGGATAATAAAAACTCTGTAGCAAGAATGTGACTGCTTTAGATAAGATAATCAGGCCTATGGCCTGACATTTGAGCAGCTATGGGAAGATATGGGTGAAGATCATTTCCAGCAAAGGCAACAGCCAATGCAAATGGCCTCTGGTATGATCCAGTTTGGCCCATTCCGGGCACAAGGAGGAAGCTGCTGTAGCTGAGGCACACAGAGGGAGGCAGAGAGTGGTGGCCCATGAGATCAGAGAGATGAGCAGTGGCCAGATCAAGTTTGCAGTGATAAGAACTTGGATTTTATTCTAACTACATGAAGTCACAGGAGGGTCTTAAGCAGGGGAGTAGAGATGCAGAATCTGAATTATGCTTTTTAGAAATGACCTAAGCTGCTTTGTGAACTGCAGGTGAGCAAGAGGGGAGTCCACGAGACCAGCTTGGAGGTCCTCCTGTCATTCCAAGATTTTGGTGACTTGAATGCACAGCCTACAACAGACTGCCCCAGAAGCCGTGACCTCAGAGTTCTAGGGAACTGTGACCTTAATCGCTGTATCTCAGCTCAAAGCACAGGGCAGGGTGCATAGTGACAGAATGGCTTAATCGTCATTAACACGTCTGAAATTTACATTCCGCTGAACCCAGCATCCTTTCCTTCTCCTCCAACAACACCAAGCTTCTGCAGAAACTCCCCTCCACTTATCAAGTTCTACAAGCGACCAGGGGAAGCCTATTCGCCTGCCTGTCTCTCTCCCACATTGGGCTAACCACCCCAGGCCTGGCACAGTGCCGCTGGCCATCCTGCCCACCCAGGCTCCCTCATACTGAGGTGCGCACTGTTAGCACAGCAGCCTCGACGTCTTGATATTTAAGAGAGAGGCTTTCCCATTTGAGCCCCCATTTTTCCATCTGTAAGGTGGGCACTGTGTTCCATTCCCTAACAGCCCCTATCCCGAGACACTCCTCCACACCTCTTCTCTCTCCATCCCTTCCTTCCACTAGAACAAATCCACCCTGGGTTTTTTCTCAAGTTCCTCTGATCCCCGAATTATCCAAACTTTTCCCCGGAAACCAGTTCTTTGTCTTCCAGCCTGATTCCAGGTGGCTGAGTGCTGGGCACCCAGGGTGAGGGGTGCCACCTGACCTGGGTCTAGCCCTCCCGGGCCAGCCCGCCCGCCAGCGGTGGGCAGAGGCCAACGCTAAGGCCCCTTCCACCCAGCCCGTTACTGAACAGCTGGACTCCGGGACCCCAGCCAGGCTGCGGGGAGAGTGGGCAGGAGCGAGAGGCACAAATGAGAGAAAGAGGGGGCAGCGCGATAAAGAGGAGGAGAAAGGGGGAAGTGTCAGAGCTGAGAGCAGGAAAGGCTGTCGACGAGAAGGAAAAGAGAAAGCGGGGGAGAGTGTGGGGGAGAGGCCGAGCAGAGGAAGAGAAGCGAAGACAGACAAAATGCGTGTGTGCGCGCGGGCCTGGAGCGGGGGAAGGAGGGAGAGGCCGGGACGAGCGGGGGAGAGACTCGGAGAGGGGCGGCGGGCGAGCCGCGCTCGGAAGCCGGGAGCAGCGAGGTGGGGGCGGAGACGAGGAAGTGGGTGCGAGGCGCGGGGCGCGGGCGGGGCGCTCCGCCGGCTCCATCCCTGCCCGGAGCGCAGCCGGCGCGGGCGCAGCACCGAGGCGAGCACGGAGCAGAGCCACGCTCGGCCGCAGCAGCAGCCCCAGGTAATGCGGCCGCCGCCTCCCTGCGCCGCTCTCCGCGCCCGTCGTGCCCCCGACCCCAGGTTCGAGCTCCCGCCCCGCCGCTCGCTGGTCGTGCCTGACCTTGGGCAAGTCCTCGGCCGGCGAGCCTCAGTTTCCTTCTCTGTGAGCCTCGGGGGGTCGAGCCCGCGCCAAGGGGGGGCGTGGCAAGGACGGACTGCAGCGCTGGGGCGCGGGGTCTGGGGGTTACCCCCTCTGCCCGCGCAGGGGTTGGTTTGGAGAGTCCACTTTCGCCGAAGCAATGCCTGTTCTGCTCCCGGGTCTGGGCGGTGGTATTTTCTCAGGGCTGTGTGTCTGTGGGAGAGTGGAGCGACTTTCTGATTAAGGAAAGCCGACAGAGGGCCAGGTAGGCGGAGAGAGGGCTTCCAGCTCTTTGGCAGCTGAGGTGTCTGGCCTGCGTCCTCCCTGCACTGCTGCCCCGTGCCCAGGAGCGAGGACCAGGCAGCACTCAGGCTGGCAGAAGTCCATCCCAGAGCACCTGGAGAGCTTTTCGCTTCTGAGAAGAGTCTGAGCCTGGCGGTTGCCTCAGCTAGGAATCCCTGTTGGCCCGTTTACCTAAGTACGGTTGACCTTGAATATGTGAGCCTCAGTTTCCTGCTTTGTGAAAAGTGGCATGTTGAATGCCCCCTTTGAAGGGGTCATGAGGATAAGGAGGTGGGCAAGAAAGTACCTGGGGCTTGTGGTGGCCCCCAGTGGCAGTTGTTTTATGCTAACTGGCACTGGTCGCCTTCTGGGACCTCATCTGTATGTGCCAGGTCCTCTCTGGCCTCCTTTGCCAGAGATGGGAGTGGACAGGCTGGACAAAGCAGGGCCCAGAAAATTTGGGAAGCCTAGGAGCCCTCCCTCCAACTTAGACACACAGCCTGATGGTTCTCTAAGGTGCACGATCTGTGAGATGACAGTTCATGTCCTGTAAAGACTCCTGGCTGAATCTCTCCCAGCCTCAGTTGGAAGAGATGAATTCCTACCTACTACTGAGTCCCCTGTCACTGGAGGTTATGAAAGGCCCATGAAAGAAAATGTAGATAGATTACATTTATTAATATCTCTGACCCTGAGATATGACCATTATTGAATGGGATGAGAAAACAGCATTTCTCCAGCACCTGCACCATGCATGCCTAGTATTAGGTGCATTATGCAAACATTATTCACTGGAGTCATAACAACAATCTTGGGAAGCTGATGCCATTAAACCCCAGATTTACAGAGGAGAATACCAAGTGTCACAAGGGCAAGTGGTTTCCACCCAGTCGCACTGTAGGAAATGCCTGTGCTGGGATTGGCCCCAGGTCTACCTGGCTCCAAAGTGCTTCCGACAGTACCATACTGGCCCCAAAATATGACTGCAAAAGGTGTATAGCATGGGGCCTGGCACCAGGCAGGTCCCCAATCAGCACTGGTTTCTTGTGCCACATGTCATAGGAAACTCTGCCTTATAATCACTGCAGAAAGTGAGTCTGAAGGCTGGCAGTGCGATCCAGGCAGTAATTTCTCTAGGGGTCTGGAAGGAAGGAAGGTCACTACTACTCAACACCACATAGGAAGCACATAACAGGCTAACTCACCCCAGCCCAGCAACTTTTCTTCTTTCCTCAACCACTCCATCCCAGTTAACCTCATCTCCATTAACCTTGGCCTAGGCTGCTTCTCCTGGCTTCTTGGGCACTTTCTGTTCTCCATCCTCCGCTGACTAAGCTGACCCTCCCAACTGATGCATCCCAAGGGAGAACAAGTCCAGCTGTGGTCCATCTCCACCAATGTCCCAGAGAAGGGGAAACAGGATTAAGTCTCAATCCCAAGGATTTAGCTCATCTTGGGGAAGAAATCCCTGATAATAGGAAAATGGGCACCCTGCTATGGGAAAATGGGTGTCCCGGCAGTCTAGAGAGATTCTTTTGCCAAAAATGTTTTATAAGAAGAGGAGGACATCCACATGAAGTTATGAAACTAAGCCTCTTTCAAATGTAAAAACATTCATCAACAACCAGGGAGTGCCTAAATGTCCAACAATAGGGGATAAATTTAGTAAATTATGGGACAGCCATGTGGCTACTAAAAATGGAGAGTTTTTAATGAATAGGGACATGTTTATACATACATATATAGGGCATGGTCACAAATTTATGAGAAGCACTTAGAAAAAAGACTGGAAGGAAATAGGCCAAAGAGTGTTAACAATGTTTGGCAGTAGGTGGCTGGATTATGGGAGATTTGTTCCCTGACTCTATAATTTCTGAACTTTCCACTTATGCAGTGAGCATATACTTTAATAATTAGCAAGCATAGAACTGTCTGGCATCTAGTATTAACCTATCACCACCTCCTCCTGGCCAGCACCCAGGACAGGGCTGACACATGGACAGAGCCACCTCTCTGTTGAGGCCTGGCAGGCTCCTCAAAAGAAAGAAGGAATATTAAATTATTAATACGAATACTATCTGACATTTTTTGTCTTTTTATTTTGTGCTCATGATAATCTTATGAGGTAGGTACAATCAATATCCCTGTTTTACAGAGAAGAAATCAGGAGTCAGATCATTCAATCACTTTTGGCCCATGTCCCACAGCATCTAACCAGAGTCAGGAAAGGTGCACAGATTCAATTAGCCATCATTTAAGCACCTATCACAGAAATCTTGGACTTGACAGGTGAAGAAATAGTTCAGCCTCCAAAGTGCTAGGTATTTTGTTGGGTGCTGGGGACCCAAAGGCACATGCGGTGTCGTCGCTACACAGGTGTCGGGGAGAGTGGTGTGTAAACAGTGTCTTCAGGACTTTGATGGGGGGTTGTTCAGGAAACTGTGGGACTTCAGAGGATGAACGGTGAAGGCTCCCCAGAAGTGATTTTATCTGAAATGGTTCTAGAAGCATAAGCAAGAATTCACCAGGTGAGCAAGAGAGGTGTGGGCAGTGGTTCTCAACTGGGGACAATTTGGTCCCCCAGAGGTTATTTGTCAATGTCTGGAGATATTTTTGATTATCACAGCTAGGGTCAGGGGTGTGCTAACACCTAGTGGGTAGAGGGCAGGGAGGCTGCTACACATCCCACAGTGCTCAGGATGGCTCCACAACAAAGAATTCTCCTGTCCTATATGTCAGCAGTGCTGAGCTGAGAAACCCTGGATTTGAAGAGAACGACATTCCTGAACAGGGGATCAGCCCATGCAAAGCTGCCGCAGATGTTTATTAAGCGCCTCCTCTGTGCTGGGCACTTTGAACCTGTGATTGCAGTACTGGCCACATGACCTCCCTGCTGCCACTCTGCCCCTACCAGCAACCAGGTGTTCTTTAAAAAACAAACATTAAAGCTGTATAGAGATATAATTCATGTATCATAAAATTCACCATTTAAAGTATATAAGCTAATGGTGCTTAGTACATTCATGGGGTTACGCAACCATCACCACTCATTCTAGACTATTTTCATCACCCTAAAAAGAAATTTTATACACACTAGCCTTCACTCCCTATCCATCCCCACCTCCCACCCAAGGCTAGGGAACTACTAATCTATTTTCTGTGTCTATAGATGTTCCCATTCTGGACATTTCATATCAAAGTAATTATATAATGGATGATTACATGGAATAAAATATGGTCTTTTGTGACTAACTTATTTTGCTTAGCATCATGTTTTCAAGGTTCATCCATGTTGTAGCATGTATCAGTTTTTCTGGTCAAAATAATACTCCATTGCAATGGATATACTGCGTATTGTTTATCCATTCATCAGTTGATGGGCATTTGGGTTGTTTCCACCTTTGGGCTATGATGAATGATGGTGCTGTGAACATTTGTGTACAGGCTTTGTTAGGGTGTTGTGTTTTCATTTCTTTTGGGTATGGACCTAGGAGTCATGTTATACCTAGATCATGTTAAGGCTATGTTTAACCTCTCGAGGACCAGCCAGGGTTTTTTCCGAGGCAGCTGTACCATTTTACATTCCCACCAGCAGTGTATGAGGGTTCCAGTTTCTCCACATCCTCATCAACACTTACCGTCCAACTTTTGGATTCTAGCCATCCTAGTGGGTGTGAAGTGGTATCGTTGTGTTTTTCATTTGCATGCACCTCGTGGCTGATGAATTTGAACATCTTTTCAGGTGCTTGTTGGCCATTTTTGTATCTTGGTTGCAAAACTATCTATTAATGTCAGTTTTTAAAACTTCTTTGCATCATTCCCTTACTGAGACTGAAATGCAAACCCCACAGAGGTCCACAGGGCCCCACATTATGGATGGGGCCCTGCACACGCCTCTGACTGCATCTTCCCTGGCTCACTGTGCTCTGACTACACGGGCCTCAAAGCAGCACGCTGGTTCGCCCTGTAAGTCCCTTGCATGAGCTCTGAGCTCTTTCCTCCTCCTGGCTCACCATCTACATAGCAGCTCTGTGCACAAGCTCAGTGCAGCCTTCCCTGCCCTCTCAGTCTCAAGGCCCTCTTTAGCACATCTCGAGGTTTCCTTTGGTCATTTTTTTTAACTCTGATAAGATCTGGAAAAACTGGGCTCCAGCTATGACTACACCTTTCTTCACTGTGTGACCCTAGGCAAGCCATTGCCCCTCTCTGGGCCCCAGCTGTGCCATCTGAAAACCAAACGGGGGTGTTCTGGCTGATATCATAGGTCCTTTCTGACTGTGCCCTTCTTTGATTCCTGCTTCCATGGGACAGCTCTGCCAGGAAGGCACAGGCCTGGCACCATGACAGTGAGAGAAAGGTAGCTGGAGCCAAGTTGGTCACGGATCAGAGCAGGCAGCATGCTGATTATCTCCAGTCCCATGGGGACAGTGTTCAGGAGTATGTGGTAGCTTTAACCTGGCTCCCAGCCTCCTGGAACAGCAAAAAATTGTCATCAGTTCCAGCAAGGACTGAATACCTTGGCCACTTTTAGCTCCAGAATCACCTACTTTTCCTGGGAAAATAGAAAATAATCTTCTAACCTCCAAACCCTGAGTATTAGA